TGCGACTTTCATGAAGTATTCTGCAGTTCTTTTGTTTCCAATTATACTTACGTGTGTATATATATATATATATATATATATATATCTAAGTACACATATTTTGAAACGTTGTTGAGGAAAGCATTTTTCTATTTGAAATTTAAAAAAAAGGAAATCATAAAATGAGAAGAAAAAGATTAGGTAAAATATCAACAAAAGAAATCCGAGATACATACAACAATTGGAAGGGAGAAAGAAGAGTCAGTCTTCCAAGAAAGCGAAAGCAAATTAAAAGAGCAAGCCGAGCCGTGCTGAGCCTAGCCTAGCCAACCCGGGAAAATGGAGTGTTTGGGAACAAGGTTAACGGCTTGACTCACGAGAATAAACCCAGAGTTTTCGATGTAAGCATCAGACTAGTATCAAGTCAATTCTATATGTACGTCTTTTAATGACTCTGTCTTTATGCAGTACTAATATATATTATTAAAAGCAAACGCGTCACACTATCGTCACGCCACGTCAATCAATTATGTCACTGATTGCGCCCTCATGTAATCTGGATTCCATTTTTCCTTCTAGAATGTGAGCGCCTTCTGTTCAATTAAATTGACTTTCTTATCTTCATTATATTTGCCTTTCAAACACACTGGACGCATGTGAGGTGTATGAGCCATTTCAAACATATTCAAATTAATTCTACTCTAAAATTCATTTTTATATTTTTGTGTCATGATTTATATTAAAATTCGAAAAAATTCGTGTAAGAAACTTGTATCCGATGTTTTCTTAGATACCATAGTCAAGTGTTTACTCAATTGAATTTTTTTAATGAAGATTTTAGATTTGATTTTAAAATTCGGGTCAAAATTAAAATTCTATGTATAACTATCTCCCGTTGTCCTTCAATTTATGTCTTATTATTAGTTATAAAAATAATAAGTTTTGTAATTAGATTTTAAGTCACACAATTATTCTCAACAAGCGTCGTTCTTACGTTTCAAGCCGTTCTCGTTCTCCCACTCTTAAATTCGTTCTCACTTCCACTCTTGCTTTATGTAATTTAGATTAAATCTTTTTATTTAATATTTAAATTGAATAAATGGAGCATTAAAGACATTTTCTAAGTTCAAATGTCACAGTCAAATTTCAAATTATCCCAATCTTTAAAGATATTTAGTGGGGTAATTATACTTTGAGTAAATGGAGACTAAATTGGAAAAAGATTCCTGGACCCACACTGCCACACATGCAATGGGATAAAAAGTAGCCTCAAAAGGAGAGCTGTTTATTAAACAATAGGGTCGGGAAACACAAAGGTTGATATGTACATCGAAGACGGAAACGGATCTTTGCTGTACGCGCTTTCTATTACTGTAGAGCTATAGATAACACTATTGTTTGGAGAATCAAATTAATCGTATTACTTTAATTAATAGTGTTATTAGTACTCTGATTTAATTAATATCTGGTGTGTGTCCGATACATTACAATTGTAAAAACAATGTTAAATAAAAATTTTAAACTTAGAAGATATGTTTACCAACAAGTACAATTTTGCAAGTGTTAGCTCCCAACCTTAACTCATTTACGTTTTTTTTATTCAACGTGAAGATGGAATACTCCCACACCTAAAAAAAAAATTTCTACAGGTGCGATAGAGATAATATAGTGGCCACTGTTTGTTGATAAGAATAGATATTAGGTGTGTTGAGTGTATGATATATCAGCTCATTTGAGTTGTACGTATTATGACACGTGCGGCTCAGATAAGCTGGGTGTGTCTGGCGCATTCAGTACCTTCTTCACTGATAGGATTTTCTTAGAGATGCTAAATTTTGACACGACCCCTTAACACGATTAGAACACGACATGAGATAAACATGTTTGGATTCACCTTAAACAATTTTAACTCATCAACGAGTTGGCATAATTAACTCGTGTACTTAGTCGTGTCGTGTTTGGGTGAGGAGTTCAAGCCGTGTACTCGTTTATACATGTTTAACTCAACACGTTATAATCGTGAATATAACATGTGCAATCTATTACCTGTTTAGACCTAATTATTATGCACAATTAAGCTATTTCAACATGTACGGGACGTATCCCACGCTTACACATGGCACATAAGGGTGTAAACAAAGGGCAGAACACACGTTTTAATAACATTTGGCGTGCTCTGACACTCGCCCTCAGCAAGCTCTGCCTTCACTCGAACAAAACACCTTGAAGACGAGCCTGTTGGGGTCCATAGAACATATACACCTAACCCATTTTGCCTAACCAGTGAAACGATGGACCCATGTACCTTGGCTACAACACTTATAATTACATTTAATACCTCTCAGCTACCGCTGCATTTGAAAGGATGTGCATTCAATGCAACAGTACCAACTTTCGAGCAAAAGGACCAAAATAGCCCTACATGACCCAATAGGGTCATGATGACTACTCTTGCAGCCCAGGTCCAGGCTAGAACTAGACTTTCGAGAATCAAGCCATAAGCTGAGACTATAAATAAGAACATCCTTGCGCTATGAAAAGGGGGAACAAGAAAGAAACGAAGACTATTGTTCATCTTTTATTTAGATATCATCCCTCCTTATTGTATTAATCAATTGTAATAAAGAATCCCCACACAAAATAAACATTGACTACTCATTATTATTTTTACTTAAACATCTGTATTATATGTACTTAGCTATAGGGTGTGATATTTTACTTCTTACTTTAAATATTTGGATTAATTGAGACATATTTTTTTAGTATTTTATTGTTTAATTAAATATTAAATGTCTAGTTTTTGTAAACATGTTATTAAACAAGTTAATCCGTGTAACTTATTTAATAAACAGGTAGGGCTAGTGTTAAAAGTCTCTTACGTGATTATTAAACAAGTTGTTTTTTAGTCTACCTGTTTAGTAAAATACCCATATGCTGACACGACGTGACATGATTATGAATTTATGATCCGCGAACACGAATTGTAACCCCGTGAGTTTTCTAATGATAGTGTTGCGATGGTACAATTGCAAGAATTGTAACTAACAATCTCCACGTTGATAGGATTTTCTAGCAATATGTGAAATTGTCATAACTCTATTTGGAGTTTAATTCGTTTTGCGGAGGGATGAAAAAATGGATGGAAGGGAGAAGAGGAGGGATGTATGAGACATACCTAAGGAAGAGAATGTGTCTCTCTCAATTTTTGTTTGGTCGGATAGAATGAATAGTTTAAAGGAGAGATGGGGTGACACTCAATTTTTAATTTGGTTGGAAGGGAGTGAAGAGAGTTTTTATTTTATTTTTACCAATGTACCCTCATTAATGCAGTAAGCCTTGACAAGCAAACTTTTGAGAAGGTTAAAATGGGTTCTAAAATTTTGAGAAGGTTATAATTTCTTTGTATTTGTTAGTTATTTAATCCTTCTTTCTCTCTCTTCTTCTCCCAATTTTAAGTGGATAGAAAAATACAATTGAAGTAGGAATGTTTTATCTCGCCTTATTTCCTATCTTTCATTCCCTCCACCCAAACACAAAGAAATTATTTTATCCCTCTCTCATCTATCCCTCCCTATAACTTCTCTCCAACTAAACATCCCAAATGAAAATGATAACTTTATTTCAATTATTGAGGCTTTGTAAAAGTTTTTTACTTCTAGTGTTTCATGTCGTTTTGCAAAGTTTGCAAAGACATTTTGTGCGGCTTAACCCAATCATTCAAATTTCATTCCACAGTTAACCTGAGTTTTTCTAAAAGCCTTAGAAAGATATTTTTGCTCAAAATGGGTTCTAAAATCAATAAAATTTTCTACAAAGTTTTAATTTGGTCAAAATGAATGTGGGCCATAACTGTAGCCATAAATTAGCAGATGTAGTTTTGAGGCACTTTTTCGAAAATTTTGAAGTTTGGACATGTCAGATTTTGCATATGGTATATTTTGAGAACACGGACCATTGGGACGGAGTAGGCTTTTGTTCTGATAGGCGTAATCCTTTAGGTCAGTGGTTGATAGTCAATTTTTTAAAAAATAAAGAATACATTAACGAAAAATTTAAAAAATGATGAGTTAGTGTTTAACCCCGCATCCGGACGCAGGACTTGCGTCCGAATGCCAAAATGGGTAGAGGCCACAAAAGTTTCCCACATTTTTTGTTGGTTATTTTTCCCGTTACTTTAAAATACTTTGTAATCCAAAATAAATCTTAGAATTTTAATGTTATTAATCCATGTTTCTTTATGAAATCTCAAAAGTAACCTATCAAGATGAAATATATATACATTGTTAATTTAAAAGAATTTCCAAAATCTAGATATAATTTTTGAAAGTTAAATAAAAAAAAATTACATTGAACTTCTCAAAATAAGAAATATATTTTGAGATATTAAAAAAGAAAAGAAAAGAAGAGAAAGAAAGCCTGGAGACAATTTTCTTGTTTGAAGAACTTATATACCAGAGGAAGTATGAAAAAAAATTAATAAAAGGAGTATGAAAATATACACACACATATATAATAATATAATGTAGTGTGTTAAAAAATATATATATATCTATATATATATATATATATATATATATATATAATGTTGTCTCTTTTAAAATTAATAAAAAGAGTATGAAAAAATAATTTTGAAGAGATTTTCTAAACTACACACATATAGAGATAGAGAACAACTTAGATGTTGTCCCATTACAAAAGAAGGTACGTGTCACTTGCTATCAAAAGAAAAAAGAAAAAAGAAAAGTACAATTAATTAAACCCACCCACACTTCAGTCAAGTAATGCTAACCATGGTTAGCACCAAGCCGAGAAGAAAAAAATGCGTGTGTGACAAGTGAGAACAGTGTTTGAGAGAGAGACTTTTGTTTTTTAATTTATATTTCTCTGAGTAGTTTACAAGAGAAGAAAAATAGTAAACCATGGTTAAATTCGTCCGTACATGAAACTGACGCGTGGCTGACAACGCGGTATCTTCCCACCTCCTTCCACCGCCCTATTTAGTCTCCTCCATTCTCACCTTCACTCTTCCCATTTCTTGCTCTCCCATCTCTCTCTCTCTAGCACCGGTCTTCTTTTAAATCTCTCTATCTTCCATTGATAGATTCCTCACTTTCACTCTAGTCTGGTCTAGTCCTAGTCCGAACTCCATTCCGTACTCAACAGTCCTTCCATTTTGCTCCGGTCCTCAAAAACCATCACAGCTCTTCTCTTTCCTGAATGATTTAATTGAAAATTTTTACAATCTTTTTTGTGTTTCTGTTTACAATTCTTAAAAAAAAAACGTTTGTGAAATGGCGTCATCGGAGAGTTTGGCGACTTTGGAGCCCTGGACGTTTCGCTCGACATTTCCGGACTCGTGGATCTCGCAAATGTTCGCCGGAGAGAACGAAACCCTAACCAAAGCCCTCCAGAAATCGCTGTCCAACCAACCGGAGACGATTGCGCCAGAAAGGCCGGCGACCGGGACGGTCATGGAGGTGGAAGCGGCGGGTTCGAAACGCCGAGACACGATTCATCTCGTGACGAAGAGGACCAAGCGGAAGTCACGTGCGTCGAAGAGGACGACAACGACGTTTATAGCGGCCGATCCGGCGAATTTCCGGCAGATGGTGCAGCAGGTGACCGGTGTTAGGTTCGGGAACGGACAGATGCCGGTTGTACCCGTGTTGAAGCCGGAGCCACAGCGACCGGTGAACCGGATGCAGGGTTGGCTGCCCACTCTCGACACTTCAATTCCTCTGCTGGATCGTCAGCAGCAGGTGGTGGGTCCCATGGAGCCGACTCTAAATATTCCGCCGCCGTCTGTGGTGGCTGACGGTGGCGCCGGTTTAAACCTCGACTCCTTTTCAGGCTTTCCCACCCTTGAGTCGTGGAAGGTGTTGTGAAACTTTCGTTTTTTAAATTAAATTATTGTTTTTTTTAAAAAAAAAAGATCTTTGTACTGATGTGGTGGATGGACTATGTGGGGGTGTCTGATGTAGGGTGGGGGATCTGTTTATAGAGTTGTGAAGGCGTGTTTGGTTAGAACTCTTTTTGTCTATTAGTAGCGATGTTGGCTATGGCTATGGACTACAATTATATGTATGTATGTATGTATGTATCTATCTATCTATCTTTTTTTGTCACTTGCATTGACCGACTTAGCATGGTTTATCTTCACCATTTGCGATATTACTACGCCTTACAGATTTGTGGTTTGGTTGTGAGTTTTGGTTTCTAAAGCATTAGCATTTTATAATTTTGAGATGTACTTAACAGATATATATATATATATGATCAAATATTTTGATGATCCAATATAACTTTATTACATGAAAATTTGGGATTAATGACATAAAACTTGGTAATAACTCAGCTGCTTAAGCTACCATTGACTATAGGTCAACTTTACAGGTTGATTAAAACTTAGGACACTTGCTAAATTGGCATTCTGGACTACTATAAATTTAGATTAGTAAAAAAATATATTAAAATTTTAGTATATATGTTGGATTAGCATTTTAGATCCCTCAGTTTCCCGAAAAAGTGTGTGTTCACGTCATGTTTTTTGCACAAAAAAATTTGTTAAAAAAAATGTGGTCTTGAAAAAAATGTTATTGTCCATTGCCTCCGAAACTCAAAATCAAATTTAGGCTATCGTGTTATATACTCAAAGATCATCTATCATGTTATATATTCGAGATGAAGACAATTTATTAACCAATTTTAAAAGTCTGAACAAATAAATAATTTTTAGTACTGTAAAATAGAACTTTTTTTTTTTAAAGAAAAAAAAAAAACCCATTGAGTAAGAAAATTAAAAGAGCATTATTTGTACCTCTTCTTCTTCTAAGGAATTTATGACTTTTAACAAATTGTTTTTTAATATATTAACGCAACTGTCAATAAAATATAACTATAAACAAGATGTTATTATTCAATACTAGTATAAGTGTTTACCTGAGTCAAGATATGATTATTGATTATTAAAAGAAATACTAGTAGTAGTATATAACATGTTAGGTGACAGCACAGATTGACTTGGGTCTTCCTTTTGTTCCTTTCAATAAATTAAATATACAAATTATTCTAAATTATTTATACCTAATGACTTTAATATCTCTTAGTCATAGGCGATCCTGATCGTAATCTCCCTTTCAATCCATGTCATTTGTTTATGTGATTCCCCACAATTTTGTAATCAAAAGCAAAATAACAAGTTCCTCTCACTTTCTTTTACATATTCTCAATTTTTTCTCAATATTTTATCAACTTATAAATTGGATATGGTGAACAAATCATAGAGAACATATAATAAATAATAAAATATTAAGTAGTATTCCTAAATCTTGTTGCAAATATATAACTTGTATGTTAAAAAAAACCCTTATCTGGGAAAGGTTGCTAATATACCATCAAATATGTCATACAAATTTTACGATTCAAATTAGTGGCAAAAATCTATATAACAATTAAACAAGTTACCATAAAAATAAAATAAAAAACAAAAAAACAAAAAAGCACCAAGAGATGAAGAAACTATAACAGCTTAATAACAGTAACACAGCATACATAGTCAAACATCCTCAATTCCTCATATATAATTTTTCATCTTGACTTTTGCAACACACAGCCAAACTCTTGAGAAAATCCTATAACACAAACATTTATGCAAAAAGTAATTGACAGTGTCTTTGTCCAACCCTTTTGGGTTGTGGCAGACCTCTAGGCAAACATCAATTGTCCAAACTGCATAAAAAAACATTGATTATGTCAAACAAAATTGAGTTATCTTCACTCCTGCATGATCACCATGTTGGCAGACTTCTAAGCAACATCAATCGTCCAAACTGCATAAAAATATTGATCCCGTCAAATAAAATTGAGTTCGCTCCAGCATGATCGCCATGTTAACATAAGAAAGGGCAAGGTAAATGAATGCAAAATCCATGAATTTATGCATATTTTTCACTTTCCCAATCTGTCTCGAAGTCTTAATAGTAATCTTGCACCAACCACAGAGTATTAAGCTCGGGATAGCACTCGATAAGAGTCATATCCCTCTATTTCATAAAACTTTTTTTCCTGCAATTCATATATTTAGGCATCATTATCTATATGCAAATAATTCTGAGCTATAGTAATTCAAATTGTATGTGTGTGTCAAAGAGATAACCACAGCTTATGTATGGTAGCATGGCATTGTAATACTAGGACATTATCAACGAATTTCCTGACCCATCATTTACAGAAAGGACTAGATGACTTTGACTTCTTACTTGCCCCAGTCAAGAATCTATACAAGCCACAAAGCTGAACTCATAATAGTAGTCCAACTTTGACCAACCCAATAAAAACTACTTCCATCCAATATTCCTTTTCCATTGGGAGGGGTTAACTCCAAGAGTCCCTCTCAGTAGAACCTGCACTAATTTCTGATATGCAAAATAGTAAACAAAAAAACATTACCTACAGAGTACAATAGCCTGAAGCTATGTATAACCCCAAAATCCACAATTGTAACAACTTTTTAATTATTCATTAATAGGCATACCAACAACTCATCGAATCACATCCAAAGATCATAAGCATAATTGTATCGAATAATCCAGCAAGAAAAAACCCCAAAAGTTGCCTTCCGAGAACAGCCAAACCATGTATTTAACACAAAAACCTTCCAAACTACTATTCAGGCCAAGAGGACCAATCAGACTGAATTGAACCAAAAGTTTCAGCCCAAGCACTCCAAAAAGGAATATATATATATATATATATATATACAGATATAGATATTCAAGGAAACAGCCCCAAATATATAAATATTTAAAAAAAAAAAGTGTTATCAAATAGCTTCAATTTTTTTATACAGATTACCACAAGTCTTGGAATAAAAATCAGTCCTATGTCAATTTAGTCCCAGCATGACCATACACATGATGTCATTGTATGAATTCTACATTAGTACACCTCCAATATTTTCCAACTTGCTCTAGAATATTGTGATGACTCAAACATTTTGTTTGGATGCTCTGGAATTTACCAATACCAAAGAGATTTGAATAATAGACTGACTGTTTCAAGTTTTAACCCTCACTTCAGACCACTATACCGTAGAGCATCTCCAATGCATAAAGCTATTTGTGCATGCTAAATCTATATTTTGAGGAGTGCTACAGTATCAAAATGATATATTTTAGCAATTCTACTCAAATGGTGCGTTGCTATTTTTTGACACAACCACCATTTTTTTTTCAACAATTATTCCCAATTTCCATTTTCAACCACCATTCTTTTTCCATTGCAAATATAGATAGAGATGGACAGAGGAAACATAGACAGACCCAACAATTCTTCCTACCCATCAGTCCTCCAATTCTACATAAGAAACCTCAGGTTCATCTCATCTTCAACCCCAAAACCACTACTCATCATAGCCCCAACACATGTTTCTCACATCCAAGCCTCAATAATCTGCTCCAAATTGCATAAATTGCAGATAAGAATCCGAAGTGGAGGCCACGATTTCGATGGCCTTTCCTATGTCTCAGATCATGAAAACATTGATAAAATTAGATGGACAGACTATGTAGCAACTAAATATGACAACAGTAGAAAGAAAATTCAATTAATATGATTATTGAAGTCAATATACATATGGGAATTTCTTTACCTCAGAGTCCCAGAAACAAACAAATTGATGAGAGAGAAAGAAAGAAGCTGATCATCATCGCCGGTCGAGGGAGCCACGATCGAGGGACCCAGACACAAACAAACTCCGGTCGATTTTTGATCATCATCGCCGCCGCCTTCTTCATCGGAACTCATGCCATGACCCAAAACGACGGCGACGGCGGAGGGAGCCACGATCGGACAACCCAGAACCACGGCTGAGCAGCACCTTGGATTCCTCCAGTGGGCCCAGATCGTCGAATCCGCCGCCGAAGTTCAGAATCCGGTAACGGCAGAGGAAGAAACAAGTGTTGCAGATGAGAAGGAGAGAGAGACAACAGAGTTAGCGATATCGAGGGACAGAGAAAACAACAGGGGATTGAGGGAGGTAGGACGACGTTGCAGATGAGAGGGAGCGACAGACGTAGCGATATTGAGGGACAGAGATAGCAATAGTTGAGGGATTGAGGGAGATAGGAAGAAACGGTGTCGTTGGGCCATTAAACAAACTTGCCAAAAAAATTTGGCAGCCCTCAAATATGAGAGAAAATTTGAGATTTTCAAATTTTGAGAGGCCAAATGAAAGGCCATTGGAGGGCCTTTTTTTTACCCATCTCTCAAATTATGAGTTTGAGAGCCCAAAATAGAAGAGCATTGGAGATGCTCATAGGTCTAATGGAATTTGCAGGACAAACTGCCACCATATAGTACGGAAATTGACGATCTTCTCTAAATTTCGGCTTTGCAACTCCTTCATGTCGCTTAAAACATTGCTATTGACAATTTTATCTGTTAGGTCAATAGGACTTCCGATGGCTAACTTTGTACAAAACGGGAATCATATCTTTTATTTTAGTTTGTGATTATGATTTCAAAACTTAGTTAAGGTAGTTGGTTTAGTTACCTCTGTCCAAAGGTAAACAGTAAATCAAAATCTTGAACAGGGATATATATTATCCACTCACCAAATTAGGGTTCATATATATGCATTCATAACATTAAACATGCTATGATTTGAAATTTGCATAATTTGATCTTTAAAATAGTGTTTTAGAATGCATAAAATTGTTTTTATAAACTAAAATCCTATTTGAAGTAGGACAGATGAATTCAATCAATAGAAAGATCCCCCAAAGCTCACTAGACTACGAACCTAACTTCAACTACTTGAAGCTTGCAAACAAAGAGTTTTCAAATAATTTTAAACTCTAATAACACTAATCTCTTTCAGCTTGAAGGTCTACAAAAGACCCTATGCTTTCAAAAAAACCTAGGAAATCACGCATTCTAGCAATTTAGTTGTTAGATTTTGTTTGTTTCATTCATCATCCATTAATTTTGATTGTGAGAATGTTTCAAGTATTGATCATCAATGATCCTAGAGCTAAACAGATTTCAACACCACAAGCCAATTCCACACAAGCACCAAAGGCTTGGAAGTGACTAGTCATGGAGATCAAAACACCGATTTAAGAGAGAACTGCGCAAGGAGTGAGTTCATTGACAGGCAGCGCCAGAGTTCAAGGAGAACATCAGGATTGAGTCTGGGTCAAAAGTAACTAGAGGATTCTTGGATTTAGAGTTTCATAACCTAGTTTTCTATACCTTCTTATGATTTGATTTGTCTGGATTAGATCCCATGGTTCTTCACCTATTAGATTTTCTACTTAAAAATCGGTGTTCATCTTTATGGTGTTGTTTTATGCTTTATATTTTTGTATTCAGCCTACTTTTACGTGCTTAATTGTTACTCGGTATTTGAAATTTGGTTAAAGTTGAATCAAATTTATTTGTAAAAGTAGTTAATCAGATTTGAAGACCTATTCACCCCCCTAGGTTTCACTCGGGCCTTTGCGTACTATTCACCCCCCTAGGCTCAGTTTCGGCCGTTTCGTACTCTGACTATCAGGGCCTAGGGTTACAGTCTGATTCCTCATTTATCCGTTATCAAACTGGTAATTTTTTCCAACAATAACAATATAAAGCATAAAAGAATAATATGATCATTTAAAAGAAATTAATATGATTATTTTTGTTACCTATTTTTAAGGTTTGTTCTTGTTTTTCAACCTTGTGGTTTTGGATAGAAATAGAAAGTAAAATTATCAAGATAATGATTTTAACCTAAGGATGGAATCCAGTGGAAAGAAGTTACATACTAAAAAGACAAGATGAAAGTTTGGTTATTTAATTGAAGTTTTTTGGAAGTTCAATGTTTGCAATTTTCCTTTATTCTTATCACTCTTCTATCAATCCATTGACTATCTAGTTTCCAGATTTATATCATGTCACTATAATATTACAACCAATTACAAGTAATTGGGACAGAACTTTCAGATCTTTCTTAGAAAACACACCTATTTTGGCAGGATCTCTTTGTGAGCTTTGTACGAGAGAATTACATTCCATATCAAAGCAATAAAATTTGCAGCAAGGACCTGCAATTGTAATCATGAAGAAAAAGTCGACACTTTGATATTGAAAAGTAAAATCATATAATAGAAGCAGAGTTATACTAAATGACAATACAAAGCACAATTATGGTGGCCATTCATTTTCAAACAGACAAGTAAGGAGTAAATCATATGCATTCTAGAAATGGTCAATAGTTGACAGCATCATGCAACATCATAGAGACTAGATAGTAGGATTTTGTCGTTCTCTTGTCCTAGATTATGAAATATCTATCAAAACGTCACTATTGGATGACTGATATAAACAGGAAGCACTGTTGAAGATACTGGTTCATTATTTAATATCATTTATGATATTTTTTTTCTCCCAGAGACGGTGTTAAACATTTCCTTTTGATTTTTGTTTCTTTCTTTATTTATAGGAGTATTTTTTTTACACCCTTTTTTTTTTTTTTTCTTTCTTTTTTCCTTTTTTGAGTATATAGATGTTAGACAGTTGCCAATACAACGCACCACATTATGTCCAAAACTTGTTCCGACACTAACAGAAGTGTCCACCACTGAGATAACTACTGTTACATGGTTTAGCAGCAGTATTGAGTTATTGACAAGAATGAAGCTAAATATTAACAGAAACTTGATGAGATATGGTCTGATGCTTTTGTCTGTGGCTAAATAAAATCAATGTCTCCTGTAGATACAAATGGGTGGGTGTTGAAGCATATCAGAACAGTTGGAACTCAATAACGGCTGAGATTAGGATTTCTGGGAGAAGAGAGGAAAGAAGAATGTGAGAGATGATGAAAAAAGGGTTTGGAGAATGAGTTGATTATTTCTTATTCTATGCCGTATTTATATTACTCAAATTACTGCTAATTACATAAAGCCCCTTCTCTTGCATTATTCTATTCTACCACTCTCCCTCAAGTTGGCACACAGATATCTCTCATGCCCAACTTGCATACAGTTGAAAGAAAATACTAAGACCCCTGGTAAAAACATCAGCTAAATGATTTTCCAACTGCACAAAAGGTATACAAATCACTCACTCTTTTAGCTTCTCCTTAATGAAATTGTTATCAATCTATGAAAAGACATGTATGCGGTGTTGGTACTCAATTGCTGTAATATCTCTACGAATCATAGTGAAATCTCTTCTCATCTGTGGATGTAGGCCGATTTTGGCTGAACCACGTTATATCTTGTGTTTGTGTGTGATTATTTTGTTGGCTTTCTTTGGATTTGTTATTCGGGCGCTTCCGTTGCCCCAACAAATTGGTATCAAAGCCGAAGGTGAAGAGATCCAGGAAATACAAGAAGTTTCAACATGTGCTACAACGGGTTTCAGTTGTAGGTGGAGTCAATTGGCTTGGTGGGTCACGATGGTCAGAAAATCGTGATGGGTTACATTGCATGGAGCTCGAGCATTCAAGGTGGAACCTTAGAGGTTTGACAGGTCGAGCGGGATACACTAGGGACAACGGTAGTTTTGTAGAAGGATCGTCAAGATTGAAGTTGCAATGAATTACCTTGATCAATGTTGTGGGAAGCGATGACTGGCAGGATGGGATTTGAGTCAAGGTGGAGATTGTTGGGAATTGTGTTTCAAATGCCTATTCTAATTAGGTTTCTATTGTGGAGTGATACACGGTGAAAAGGCATGTAAACAGAGTTGGTATTCTGGTATTGTAATATCGCTACGAATCATAGTGGAATATATCTTCTCATCCGTGGATGTAAACCGGTTTTGGTTGAACCACGTTATATCTTGTGTTTGTGTGTGATTGCTTTGTTGGCTTTCGTTAGATCTTTGTGTTCACGCGTTTCTGCTGCCCCAACAAATCTCAATATGTTTTGTCTTGTCATCTTGAACCAAGTTATTGAACAATGTTGATGGATGCCTTTTTATTACTGTATGGTGTTAAGGTCCATTATAACTAAAATCCAATCACCCATCAAAGTCTGAAATCAAATGAGCTCGCATACTCTATGTGCCATAGCTCAATATTTATCAAGAAAAAACAGAAGATTCAAAAGCCTCAGTTAGATCCCTATCAACTGATCCTGCCCAATCTACATCTATAAAAACTCCTAGCTTTAGATGACCATGATTAGAAAAGAAATGTTCCTTTGCCCTGAGCGTACTTCAGGTACCTCAGGATATATATAAGTGAATGGTAGAAGGGTCGTGCATAAATTGGCTTGCAATACGAGCTGCATAAGCTATATTTAGACGCGTATGAGACACATTTAAGTCTCCCCAAAAGTCTATGATATCTCCCCTTGCCTAATTGGTAGTCTACACCACCTTTAAGTTCATGATTGGCTTGTATAGGAGAATTTGTGGGCTTGCAACCCAACATACCAGTCACCTTAGGTGAATGATGTACTTCCCTTGGGAGATGAAAATGCTCTTGTTAAGTCTTGCAACTTCAACTCCCAGGAAAAATTGTAAACCATCCCAAGTCTTTGATTTCAAATTCTCTATCTAGAAGAGCCTTTAATCTGAAAACTTCATGAGTACCATCACCAGTCACTACGATGTCATCAACATAAACAATAAGAACTTTGATCTCGTCTTTTGCTCATGATGAACATAGTGTGATATTTGTGACTATTTGTACCCAAATCTGATCATGACTTTGCAGAATCACTTTAACCAATAAAGCGACCTTTCAATTTACACACCTTCCCTTCAGTTCCAGTCTTGAAGAAAAACCTTGAGGAATCTCCATATACACTTCCTCCTCTAGATCCCCGTGAAGAAGAATTGCATTCTTCACATCCAACTGTTGAAGACTTCACACCAAGTTGGAAACATAAGAAAGGACTATGTGGGAGTTCATCTTGGCAACTGGTGTAAATGTCTCCTAATAATCTATGCCATATGTAGAAGTGAATCCTTTGGCAACCAACCTTGCTTTATATCAGTCAATCGCTCCATCTACTTTTAATCTGACAGTTAACACCCACTTACATCCCACCGGCTTCTTTCTATTTGGAAGAGGTACTAATTCCCAAATCTCATTCTTTCCGAGAGCTTTCATGAAATCTACCATGGCCTCCTTTCACTTGGATCTGCAAGTGCTTCCTTCCATATGTAGAAGTGTACATATATATACATACTATATAATATATTGAAAATTTGTCTATTTAAGAATTAATGCAATCACTTTGAACATTAAAATGTCACTTGAGTATTTTACTTGACACTTATTTTATTTTTCTGAGCTAATATACTCATAATACAAATATGGAACTTTCTAAATGTTGCCACACCAATCCACATTACATGGGTCTCAGCACCTCAGATGTTTCTTTATATGTCAGAAGCGGGGAGGGAGGTTATCTCACATAAGCACAAAACTCTCCAAGTAAATTAGATTGTGCCATTCAAACCTGAAATTGCTGTGGTACGAATCGGAAGTTGAGAAATTGGAATGGTATCCAAAGTTGCCAGTTTGCAAGAACAGAAGAGAACCACTCCTACAAAACAGAGTTCAACATTGATATGAAAAAATATCGACTCTCGAAACAAAGGATTAGTTCCTTTCAATGACATGTTGTCGGTTAAAGGACAACTAAAAATAGAAGGAAGAAAAAGAACACTGTGTAATACCTGCTGAAGCTTTGGCACCACTTGCGATGGCCTCCCCTCAAGCGTCACCAATGTAGATAAGAAAACTCCGATGAATATCGGTGAGAAAAGGAACTGCAAATCAAATTCAGGTTACATTCAGAGATGCTTCTTCTAATAAAGTGAAAACATGCCAAGTTGCTTAATCAACTTAGAGCAGACAATAAAAACAAACTGGAAAAGAAGAAGTCACCTGGTCAAGTATAAGGCGCAAGAAAGCACCTGATGCTCCCGACAGAGTGACCAATTTACTCAGATATAAATACCTAGAAATAAATCAACTTGTATGAAGTGCACTTCAAAAAACTGTCCACAAAAACTCAAGTAAAAAGCAGATACTTTGATATTTTGTCAACAAATTTGTTGTTAGGTTTTAGTGCATTTGGCATCATCCCTTTAAGGTTAGGATTTTGAAAGCTCATACAAACTAAAGAAAAAGTAGCCAAATTTTGAATGTCAAAGGATCTACATTGCCCATGGCGTCATCAGAAATTTAAAAGCACTCGTCGACAACAATGACGATGTATATCTAACTAGATCATGCTAATCCAAGGGAAACAGCAAAAGAACCCAATCAGTAAGCATAAATATTTGCATAGTAATTATATTTTAATTTATTAAACCCTTCAAAAAAAGAATCATGTATCTGATGTACACCATTCAAATTTCATTTCAAACCCAAATGATAATTACATTTCTTATTATTTTCAAGATTACCATAGCCATCTTAGAAACATGTCATTTTAGAAGGGTCTTTCCAAGAAAAGAAAAAAAATCTCAATTTCAATACTGGCATAACTGTTGACAGCATAGTTATTGAATAATAGGATAGTATGAGGCTATAAGTTACCACAGCATTGAAAATATGAAGCTTATAATTATACCATAGTTACGGAGTGAAACAGACACAACAACACTAACAAACATGTAGCACATACATGAGAAAATACAAAGACAAAGTTGCTATAATCATGGATATGCAACACTCAGGGAGAACTTGGATTCTGTAGCTTTTACCAGAAGTGTAATGTGGGGCCCACCAAAACCAGCCCCAACAGAGTGAATAGAAATGTTCTCTTCAGGTCGAGTGACGATGCTTGATCGATTGCAACCTGAGACACATAACTACTAGAATTCAGCAATTTTAATCTAGAAGTTACATCATGACAGAGAAGTGGCGTACGCAATCTAACCCTATTTGTCCATGCATAGAAACATTAACATATTAATTGATAACTACATGCTACAACACAGTAGTTTTGAAAATTCAGTAGCAATAACTTGCGTCATCAAATCACTTCAGTTTTTCTTTTTCTTTTTTCTCCTTTTGGTTGGTTCAAGACTACCACATTAAAAAAACTAAAAATAACACAAAGGGAAAGTAGTACCAGACTTCATTGGATACTTTGAGAATATTATTTGGAATTGTGCAATCCTAGCTTTCATTTGGACTTCTAAAATTAGCTATAAGATCATCAGATACTCGTCCAATTGTTAGAATCTATATGGGAAAATTTAACTTTCAGAAACCTTCTGGTCTTCAGTTATGATAAATTTGGGGTTGATAGGTGCTGCTGACCAGCAGTGCCTTTATCTTTACTGGCTCACTTGATCAATTGAGCAAGTAAACACTTCATGGGGATTTCCTCAACTTGAATGTAACAATTTTTTTCTCCGAAGATCAGAATTCATGAACTTCAACGATATTGTTAAAAGAACACATCTGGGCTGCAAAACTTTGACCTGTGTCAGAAATTTGGAAATTTGAATTTTTGTTTGAACATTCAAATTGATTGAAATTAACGTTCTTCAATCCTTGCTTGAGAATAGCTGTTACTTTCCTCTGTGCTTTCTTTCAAGTACAGAATCATTTCACCACAGATGAATAAATCCCAAGTACGCCTTGAGATTCACATAAAAATTAAGCACAACCATTTGTTTTGCAAGCAGGATTAGATTTTACTAACTGAAAGGGATATACAAGAAGCTAGAAACAAGACTGTATCGAACAAAGAGATCAAACCTCTCACAACCAAGGAAACGTCACACCTACTCTAGTGAGAAAAACCCAACCACTTGTCACAGCCCAATAAGAATAGTTAATCAAAGAAAAAAAGCTAAAAACAACCCAAATCAGGACAAGAGCACGCGCCAATCTCAGAAGCTAAGGCAGCCTGTTTCCTGGTTGAAGACATGACCTCCTAGAATACAAGATAGATTTGTGATTGCTTTTCTCCACTTCTTAAGCCTAAGATTTTGTTTGTTTTTCCTCTCGAGTAGCAATTTCTCTTTATCTTCCCTTTGTTCACATATTTCCTTGGATTTAGTCTTAATGTTTTCCGTTCTAGAAGCACTTCCTTTCACATTCCTTTGCTTCTTTTAAATTACATCTTGTCTTTCCATCATTGTCCTTATTTACTTCATCCTCTTTGGAAAACCTTGTTAGCAGGGAGCTCTGGAGAATTACATAACATTAAATATGGAGAATTCCATACGCAAAATGTTCACATCTTATTTTAGCTACTAGTTTTTTCAAACTCAGGCAGGTTGCTATTTCCGCTCTCTTGCATATAAAAAGGAAGCAAAAAACAGCAATAGCATCATGAATAGCTCGACGCTTCCAAAACAGATTGACTTTGTAAATTGAAAACTGAAAACAGACAGGATTTCAAGTCAATTTAAATAAGCAGCACAAGAAATACACATAGATTGTTCCAATTATAAATACTTGTCGTCCAATAAAGCAAAATAGAGAGAACCTGAGACACAATATAGATATGGTGGAATGATTAGCACATCAATCATATCCAATTACAGAGACAATTTATGTAAAAGAACCAAGCTAAAATGTATGATCCGAACACAATTTCAATTAACGGATTATACAGGACATAATAGCCGTTACGTAACAAGAGCAACCAGTGTCTTCTCATTACGATCCATTATAGCGGTCGGATTTGTATTTCATGTCTACAACTGTCCATAACACCTGGTTGTTGGGGAATTATCTAGAACTTTCATAAATGTTGTTATTTCTTTTTGGACCACAACAGTCGAGATAAGCTTAAAAACTCAATATTCAATCCTCTATTTTGGATCAAGGACTTTCAAAACTTCAAACAATTGGCAAGTTTTACTCCCCACCCCCTCTTTTTTTTTGGGCATTATCTGAACTTTTCACTTGGATTAACATAAAAAGAAGTGTTTGGCGTAAGATTTATGGACTTTCTTTGTGGTTATTGCTTGAAACTTCCAATATTGCTGTTTTACCAATTGCTTTCAAATTCTATCTTAAGTTATTACTTTATTATAAACATCTAAATGTATATGGAAAAAGATATAGTGAGACCACCAAATAGGCCGACTTCTCAAATTGACTAAACCACAATCGCATACAGCGATGAATAATATGTGGACCACGCGATGTAGACCATTGATACCATGCTGATATTTACCCATATGTCTGTAACATAAGATTTTAATAAAATAGAAAACTATATCATCATGCAAAGTGGTCTCAAGGAAAGAGGTCTGCCAAACAAAATAAATGATGCGGGGAAATTCCATTTTGAGCAGTACCTCCCCATTGGGACTCCCAGACGCGCCTTTAAAGGAGGCGCCATAATTTGGATTTGTACAGGATTAGGAGAGAGAATATATCATAGAGATCCGAGTAGAGTGGAGTAAGGTGGAAGTCAAGGTTCATTGAGAGAGAGAGAGAGTGGTAGTATAGAGGTCATCTATTATAATTATCAGAGATCCAAGCACAGTGGAATAGGGTAGAAGTCAAGGATAAAGTGGCAGCATAGAGGTCATCATGGATTCCACAGACTAAGGCCTTACCCAAAGTCAAACTAAGTCTAACACCCTAATATAGAAGTCTAGAGCTCAGAAAGGAATAGTTTAGAAATCTCAAGGTAGAGATCGCAAGGTGATGGTCCTCAAGGTAAAGGTCTCCAGGTCTTCCTGAAGCCTCTCCCGTGAAGAAAATGAAGCCAAATCATGACGCCTTCTTGTTTCCCATGGTGCCTATATCGCTATGGGTGGGTTTCAGATACCCACACAAAGATTACTATAGTTGCCAACAAAGTTAAAATGACAAAAATAAAGATGGGAAGATGCCAATGTTGTTAAAGGCAGAAGAGAAGCTGCAAATTTTTTTAAGAAATTCCAATCTGAAGAAATCTTGAGACATCATCATCCTGAAACTCTAAATCAACCTATATTCTTCTCAACACAGGAAATCTCCTAAAATCAGGATAAACAAAAAGGAAAACAAACCAAAAACTATTAATACTAAAAGATTTCTTTTCACTATTTCAATATATAAATCACAGAAAAGTGAAGAATGGTATATAACAATTAGAAAATGTCCTGTCCAAACAAGAAGGAAAAAAAAAATTAATATTTAGACAGTTGTAGGTATAGGGACCGGAAAAAGTCTACCTGGCAGATCACATCTCCAATAAGTGTCAAAAATGCAGATGTCACTGCTTTTGTTAACACAGGATACTTCTCAAGAAGAGTCAGATACCTGAAATAAAGTAAACTCGAGTTAAAATGGCAGAGAATGTATCATGATTAACGTAATAAAAGTTTCCTATTTGCACCATATTGTAATTTATTTTTCAGCAAAAGGCAGAAACATTTCATTGAAAAATGAGAGAATAAAAATGAAAAGTCCCATCACAAAGAGAAATGTAGCAGAACAAACAATGTTCCTTCATTAGTTGGATTTTAAATTATTTTCAGATAAATGTCATTCACCATAATAAGGGAGTGTGTGCTTAGTAGAACAAGCCTAGAGAACAATACATCATGAACACAACACAGCACAACAAGATTGCCAACTCTAGTCAAAGCAAATTTCTAATCACTTGTGTTGAGAACACATAAATCCCTGAAACAGGATCCCGTTAAACATGTAATTTTGCCAGTGAGGCAAATTGATGTATGTCAAGATGAAAGGTTAAGACCGTACAACTATATGGAGAAAAACCATCTCACCATGTAGAATTTGGTGTCAACAGATTGTGTTGCCCTTATGCACAGGATACAGGAGTTCGAACAGATGGTCATGTAACTTTTCTTTATTTAGGCATACAACCAGTATTTACCTTTCCGAGAGCTATTAAATAGCATGGTCTTTAACTCTATCAATGCTTATAAGAGACAAAATAATCATGCCGAAAAGTGACACTCAACAAGATAAGAACCTACAGAAGGAATGACATGTAATGTAAGCAAATTGTCAACATTAAGGGACCAAAATATTCTGGAACCCAGAGAAGAAGAAAATTTGACAACTTCAAGGAACTCAAGGTCGGGAATGAACTTCAGAACTCTATTGGCTACATTTCCAGTTCATGTTCAGATTATCCATTGAAGTTATAATAATTGAACTTTAGAGAATCATATGGCAATGCTAATAACACTCTTTCAATATGTGTAAAGCCAAAATTCATAACTATCACAAAATCTAAATGGACAATGAAGAAAAAAGAGAAAGGTATGAATCCAACAAAAACCATTAGAAATACAATTTACACTTTACCATGAAAGCAAGGACCAGTCACTCCCACCACCACCACCACCTCCTTCACCTTTCCCACCTGAATTTCCACCAGTTGAACCCCCGTACCCCCCACTTCCGCCAGAGCCACCACTTGAAACAGCCGAGAACCGAAGATGATCAAAACCCAATCGTCTAAACCCAATTCCAAAATGAACCAAATCTTTGCTCACATGCCCACAAATGAAATTTGAGGAAAACAGATGAGAATTGGTTGAAGAACTCCTAAAACCACTTATCTGAAGTGGATTTGTGGGGATTTTGGTCTGGTTAGCAAAATGTGAAAAGGGTGTGCGAGAGAATCCCAAAACCCTGAACAAGGGTAGAGCTTTGCGGGAAAGAGTTACAGGGTTCGAAACCATTATTGGGCTGCTCGAACTCGAAGCGGCTTCTTTGGTGTGTTGTTATCCTTCGCAAAGTGGCGGGTTGTACATTATGTCCTGTATATGAGGTTTTTGAAGGGTATTACTGTTCTTTTGGTAAAGTTTGGGTTGCGGAACGCTTTTTTACTTACCCTCACTCCGTGTAAGTTCTGGATCTCGGATTGTTTCGACCTTTTTTTTCTTTTTTCCTAACAAATAACAAATCATCTACAGTATTTTTCAAACTATGTTACCTTTCTTTTTTTCTTTTTTTAGGCAGTTGTCTACTTGAATTTTTGCCTTTTAACTTTTGAAAAAAATATATCTTTTTTATAAAATAAACTTTATATTAAAATTTCCATTTAGCTGTACAGTCTACTAAAATAATTACACATACTAAAAACATGAGTAAAAAAGTCAAGCCTTGTCCTCATATTTGCCATATTTTTTTGTTTGTCTTTGCATAATTTTTAAGGGTAAACATGACTTTCTAAATAATATTTTGGACATAAACAATTTTTGAAGTTGATCATCGTTAACCATTTTCGGAAGGAAAAAAGTATTACTAAACCATAAACATGAGGGTGATTTTTTAATACATGAGGAATGTTTCTACCATTTCATTCTTTTTTCCTTTTTTTTTTTTGAACTGTTAAATCGAAGAAATTACGTAGCAGAACCGGACACTTTGTGCTCGGCAAAGAACAAGGTACTATACGGGATTTTTTCAAGAAAAAACATAACTCAAAAGACATACAAAATTTGTACCGAATTGATGCCTTGTATTTGAGATTGGAAAATTTTTAATTCAAAATTTGTACTAAATATCTTCCAATCCTTAAAGGCACTGATTCGTGCTCCCAAATACAACATAAGTTGCATAATTGAATAAATGTCATGAACAAGGACCTTTAGCCAGTTCTGAACCTGCATTAGCAACCACCAAAGGGTTATATTCAAACATAACAAGTCTTGACAATTGCTCTTCTAAACCAAATAGCCTCAACAACACTAGTATTAGCAGTTGAAAAAGGCTTGCCCACACCCAATAAAGGATGATATCCACACTATATTTTTGACTTTTGAACTCATTTTTTTCTTTTGGGAGAAAAAATTATACGATTCTCCCTCCAAAAGTAATAATTGGACTGCTATTTAAGGAATAATTATGTCATCTTGTATCATAAAAAATTCAAGGATATGTAATAGTACATAATTGTACTGCCATAATCACATCCCTAATGAATTTGGGTTGGGATCAAGGAGAATGAGGGCTTCTACACGAGTTGCCTCGGATTGATTCTTAATTGATGGGTTTGTATTGGCCCTCATTCACAATCAAACCAAATGCAAGAGAACATGCAGCAAAATAGAACCCCACCCCAGAGCATATCATAAATAGAATTAGTGAAAATTTAGTCCACATAATTCTATCTGTTAAACAAATCCACTCAACCAAAGTGCATTTCATGGCAACCTGCACACGCAGGCGGGCACACAACCCTGCCTTGTCAGAAGAATCCGGTAGAGAGCTCCCCTTGGATCCAAGTATAAAGGTGTATGATCTGCCAAAGAGGATTGCTGGAGTCATTCATCCAGTCCCTCTATGTCCACCTCCTCCTGTATTGCAAACAAAATTAGTTTCACCAAGGACAACCCTTTTGCAAGGTACATCTAGTCCATGCAATTCCTAGTCCATGCAATTCATAACACTGGGTTTCACAAGAAATCTATCAGAGTAAACTAGCATTCATTAGGTGAAAAAAAAAAAAAAAAAAACTAGAGGGAAAAAAGGGTGCAACATCTCCTCAAATACAAAAGCATGCATTACCAGAAATCATATTCATGCCCCACGGACAATCAAAGCAAAAATACTTCCTCACCTGAAGCCAAGGTATATTACCAGGAGAGGCTACAACCCCTAAAATGCCTCATAATCCGAATATATATTCAGAGGATATTCATGAAAGCACTTGCACCATATATAAACATAGCTTGCCAGTATAGGAATACAATATGAATATCAATGTCACTAGATGTACAAGCTGAGTCTACTTTAAGACTACAAATTTGAAGGCACGACAAAAGCCAGAAAGAAAAGAGAGAATCTGATTCTCAAGTAAAAAGTCATTGAGGGAATTTAAGAAAGTATTTGCACAATAGTAGGAATGAGGATAGGAATACAAAGCAGAAAATATCTGACATGATCAATCTACTTTATTAAGAAAACAAATCTGAAGGCACAGTAAAAGCCAGAAACTATTTAGAAAGAAAAAATCATGGAGGAAGTTTAATATGCACCACAATATATAATAGATATTGTATATCACAATAGGAATGTTTTAGAAATATGAGCAGCAATATCAAGTATAAAGCAGGCAAAGTGATATTTTTACAAAAACAAAATAATATCTCAGATAGTCAATCTACTTCAATAAGGCTACAAATTTGAAGGTTCACAGCAAATGCCAGAGAGAAATGAGAAAAACAGATAGAAGAAGCCTTGACAAACAGTCACGAACTGCATCTCACACAAACATCATCAATTCAGGCCTACTATATATGTTTTGCTCATCATCGTCCAGCACTGGATAAGCAGCCACAAGTGCATCTTGAGCGCCAATATAGAGTGAGTTGTAAATCTTCCAATATACCTCCCTAACTTTCCTAGCCGGGTGGAACAAACCCTGAAGACAGTAGTTGAGCACTACAGCTGCGCCCAATGCCACCCTCATCCCTTCAATGGCTTCCATGACAGCATTTATAACATGAGGGGATGTCTCAAAAATGTTTGGCCAAACATAGTTCAGCAAGTGTACTAAAGCATCCTCACACCCCAACCCAGCCACTCCTAAAGCCATGTGCTTAACAGCAGAAGCAGCAGTCTGCCTATGAACCAAATCTCTGTCCATGAGAGCATCCTCAAGTAATGGAGTCACTGCATATATATAGTCTTTTCCCATTTCACCTATGTACTCAAATAGAAAGGAGAGGGATTTCAGAACACCATTCTGGACGTTAAGCTCTGGCACTCGATATTCATTCATCAAGGCAGGTAAAACTGTGAATGGTGAACAAGTTTCTGCAACAATTGCAATTGCCACAGTAGTGCAAACGCGGTTCTGGCGTTCCTGCACCTTGAGGTTGTTCAACAACGTTGCCAACACATCTTGAGGGCCGATGGCTTTGGCAATGTACCCAAAAGTGTTGACTGTTGCTCGGCGAATACCCTTCTTGTGGGCTTTAAGCATCTCAAGAAGCTCAAAGCAGATCCTCATCCACTCCCTCGCAGGTACAAACTCAGCCCCACGATCAGCTATCCTACCAACAAGGTCAATACAATTCTCCTGAACTTTCTCGTGACGGTTCTTCAAGATTGGAGTTAATCGAGGAAGTAAATCCTTTATCGGAGGGGTCATTTTTGTCATACCAATAACATTGACAATTGCCTTGAGAGCTCCCAGTATTGATCCCAAAACTTCTGGGTACTCCTCTCCCAAATACTCATACAAGACAACCCCAAGATGGCCCATCAATTGCTCTTCTTGGCATTGCTTCATGACCACTGCAATCCGGGATATGAGATCAGCTGCTTGTTGTCTAACCTTCGCACTCTTGTTATTCAGGCGCCACTTTATAGTACCACATATCTGGGGGAGATACGGTTTCACTCTCTGCCCAAAAGCATTCACAACTGCTCCAAACCCATTAAGCATCACATTCGCATCGTCACTGGTCTGCTCTTGGAAGGCATAAAGGATTCCATCAACCAGAAGCTCTTCCAACCGAGCATCAATATCAGATGCACCCAAATTGGCAACCACCTTCTCAATTGTTTCCATAACCATTCTTCTATATGGTTCACTCTCATCTTTCAGGTCCTCAACTATCCTACCTACTATATCAGCGACGCCAACTTTGTTAGCTATCTCTACAGTGGTATCAACAAGTTGTCTATAGTTTCTCCGATCCAATGCCATCCTTCTGACCCAGAAGTTTCGGAAGAACTCGGGAAGAATATCACTTCGGATGTAATCAGCCTCCACACCTTCTGTACTCACGCACTGCTTAACCACTTTCAGCACAATTTTCTTCATTTCTTCATCAGGAGACTGAAACTCACGAATCAAAATAAACATCACTTCCTTGGTATAGTAGCTGGCATATATAGCATCCATCAGGGGAATGATAAAACCAATTGCTTTCAAGAATGCAGCCAAAACCTTCCCACGATGTGATCTAATACCTTTCCACAGAGGTTTCAAAACAGAATCGAAGCTTTCAATACCATATGGGGCAGCAGCCTCAGCAAGAGCAGCCAGAGACAATGCAGTTATAGTCCTGACCTTCTGATTCTCATCACTGAGACCATGTTCTATGATCTCTACAAGAGACCTCAAGTGTGGAAGAACAGCACAGCCTATCAAAATAGCAATCTGCTGAACAATCTTGATGCCAGTGTGACGAGCTTGCCAAGATTTCTTACTCTGACACACAGCTTTCAAGAATGGCAACAGTGCAGGGATTCCAAGTGCAGAAGCAACAACACTAAAGGCTCTAGCAGTGGTGTTCCTCACATATTCATCGATGTTATCAATATCTGGACGCATTGCAGCGATCATTGTGGCCAAGCCAGCCGCTTTGCTGAGATTGGAAATGATCTCTCTACCCTCCACACGGGCATAATAGTCCTCATCAATCAACAGAGGCTCAATCACAACCAAAATTTTGTGCACATAAGGTCGCACCAACTCATCCAACTTATATAGCACCCTATCAATAACCTTCACCAAAAGATGTCTCTCCTGATCTTCCAATGTGGGTTGCATGAGCAATGGCAAAATACGGTTAAATAGTGGGCCAGCACCAAACTCCCGAGCCTTATCAGTTAGCTGCCTTAAAGCTGTTTTCCTCTGTGGTGGTGTCCCGTTCTTAACTTTTAGCAGTAGTTTCATAATCTTTCTCTCTTTCTGTTCATCAGGAGACAACTCTTCCTCATCATCTTCATTCAATAATGCACCAAAGTACTGGTAATCCTCTGGTTTCATGAATGGCAACCCACCTGGCAATTCTTTCGGAACATCGAACTGCTGACCCCTATTTTCTTCAGGAATCGCATATAGAGGAGTACCTATTGGAGTTGGTGTAGCAAGAAGTTTCCTTGCAGGCGTTCTAATCGGAACATAAGAAGCTGGGGGATCCAAAACCTTATAACCCTCTTGCGGGAACATTGCATCTAGCTCTTCATCTGTTAAAGGGCGATTTCTCTCTTCAATATCCTTCTCCCACCTCAATAAATTATACTGCTCTGGCGTTATGGCACCACGCAAATTAATAGCTCCAGGAGTTGGCGTAGCAAGTTCAACTCCTCCAACAGGAGTCACACCAGGAGTGTATGCTGCCGCAGGTGTAGCACCCGCCATCGGTGTGGCGCTTCCCATAGTAGCTGGAGTCTCATCCCATCTTGACCGCTGACGTTTTGGGGTTGGCGTTGCAAGCCCAGCCTGTTTAGGTGTGGCATCCCAAGTCATACCAGCAGGTGTGGCACCAGGAGTAACACCACCTGCCGGAGTTGCATCTGAGTCAGCCAGCCGACCTGGGGTGGGAGTCTCATCCCACCTGTTCCTCCTTGAGAGTGAGGGTGTCGCATCACCAACTCTCCCAGGTGTTGGGGTTGCATCCCACCTTCCAATCCCAGGAGTAGAATCTGGTAAATCCCAATCAGATGCAGTCTTTGCTTTCTTCACACCTGAGTCCTCCTGAGACTGATCCCACCTGTTCCTCCTCTTTTGGGTTGGCTGTGCAGCTGCAGGTTCCCTTTCCTTCTCCACTGCCTTGTTCTCCTCCTCCTCTTTCTTCTTCTTAGCGATTAACCTCAAAGTCTCCTCTTTTTCTCTCTTCAAGGCCTCTTCTCGCATCACATCAGCATAAGTTCTTACTGACACATCCGGGGTCTTGTCTCCCATTGCAAACGCATCGTGTCGCTCTGGCGAAATCACCCTATTCAACCTTCTTCGTCTATAATCATCCTCCCTATCAATGATTCTCTGAGTTTTCTTGAGACCCATGGCCTCGTCTTCATCCCCACCCCTGGGCATATCCTTCAAAATTGACTTCGGGGCCGTGTACGAGGCCAATTTCCTCGCCACTTCGGAGTCCATAGCATCAAGGTGCTCCTCATCATCGTTAACAGGTATTGATTTCTCATAACCCTCGAAGGGATTGTTGCCACCATAGAGATCAGTATCGAAGGTGACTGAAGTGAGCGACGCGAGCTGTTGCTCCAACTTCTTCCTCTCTTCCTGGGTCTTTGCAATCTCTGGATCCACGGACGCCATATCTATAGGTTTAATTCAATCCAATCTGATTTCTCCCAAATCAGAATATCAAAACCTAAACCTATCCTGAACCCTAACCCTAATTCTCACTTCCAATATTCTTTGCCAATCAATGAATTTCAAAACACAATCAATCGAATATCCCACCAGCAAATCGTGAAAAATAAAGACCTAAATCCAAAAATTCAAAATCAAATTAAAATTATTAGAAATAAATTATATAAAAAAATAAAAAATAAAAAAGGAGATATTGATACTATGAGGACAGGAGGGGGGGGGGGGGGGGGGGAGAATTGAATTCTTACAGAATCATATTATGCAACATATACAGACCGCAGTGTGTGTGTGTGGAGATCAATTAAACTAGGGTTATCAGGTGCTTACCAGTTGGGATATGCTTCGCCTCGGCCGAATATAGTGAGATCTGTATTGAATTTCTTCTTACCTGGATTGGCGACAGCTGCCTCACACGCCACTCGTGATCGGGGGAGAGCCCGGAGGGAACTTGCCCGACTATTTTCTTTTCAAAACCTTCGCTGAAACAATCTTCCCCTCCGAAGAAGGCTTCTTAGACAGACAAATTGGCTACAACTTTTGGGATAGAAACTATTACTCAACTTTTTACATTTATTCTTCATAAAATAGGCTATATATGTGTGTGGCGCCGCACGCTGAATATTTGGAGCCCTACCCGAACACCGACTCCAATGTCGGTTTTGTTTTCGGATCAAATACCCGACCCATATTTAATCTCCCGTTACTCATTATTGGCATAAGAAATTACAGTGGATTGATTTCATGATAGTAGATGATTCATGGTTCTAAGTTACCATTAAAAAATATGTATATATAATAGTCCATCCCTACCTAAGTTGTTGGATTGTTTTTCATGTCCGGAAGCCCTTGATGGAGCCTTACACTCTCCCGTCCTCGTTCCCGTTTCCGTCTTCGTTCCTTTCTCCTTTAATAATTAATTCTTAACATTCTTACCTTGAAAATAAAAATTTTAATAAGTAAAGATTAAATATTCTGACAACCACTCGTTAATTACGTGCTAAATAATATTTTAGCGTTTCCAATCAATTCAATTCATAAAATGAATGAAGACAAAGGAAAAAAAAGAGGAAATAAATAGAGAAAAAAGATGATATCGTATAATGAACATTATATAAAATACATTAAGTAATCGTCGATTTATATTGTTAGCTTAATCAGCTAAATTGTGTATCATGACTCAAAATTAATTTCATAATAATTTCATTAGATTGATTTAAATATATATATTCATAATATTATTTAATTTCATTGGATTGATTTAAATAAGAAATTATGAACGAAATCATATTAGAAACACTAGATATTGTTTTTCTAATTTTCCATGAAATGCCCCATTATGGGTGCATTCCATATTCTTACACATATGGTATCTGCGCTTATTTGATTCATTATTTATGCCCAAATTAAAATTATATATCTAAGTTAATTTAGGTGGATATTTGTGTCCAAATTAAAATGACTTAAATTAGGGAATGGTAGTTTTGGCATTATATTTTTTAGTACTGCTATTTCGCCCGACTTAAAAAAACCCGATATATTACGACTTCCACGTGTATGTTTGAAGATGCAAGAGCTTTCTTCGATTTTTCTCTCTCTAAAATTCTTACATTTCAACAGAATAAAAAAATCCAAAAAGCCTCTCCTTCTCTCTACTCGTATGGTCTATTTATAGTCCATCACCAAAATTCTAACCAACTTATTGTATAGGGCTCTTATTCTAGGGCCTTCTTCCTTTTGGGCCTGACTTCATTATGTGAGCCTCAGATGTTGGGCCTAACTCTCAGTGTTGTGCTATGGGCTGAGTTCAACTGTTCGGTCCGATCCTTCTTTCATGGGTGTTGGGCCCATTGCGGTACCCTTTTTGCTTGGGCTAGGACCTACTATTCAATCTGATGCCTCACTCGTGGGTTGGGTCTGGTCCAATCCGTCTTTGGTATCTTCAATTGCCCCCATAATTACCCCCTAGTAAATAAGGGGGTAATTATTATCGGCGGCCAATCATGACACTGACGGCTCAAGAAGACCTCGTGGGAAAATGGACGATCGGATCTAAAACCAATGCTTCGAGATTCCAAAGAAACTCCTCGTTTTCCTGACGCTTCGATCTTCGGGCCCACTCTGTCCTTATAAGTATCAGAGACGTTCCCTCAAACCTTTTTTATGTCTCCATCTTGCATCACTGTTGGCCAAATCTTTGCTTGCATCTCTCTATTTTTAGTCAAATCAAATCTTCTCCGGCGAACCTCTGCGAAAGCTCCTTTTTCCAGCGATCTTGCAGTAATCTACGTTTTCTCCTTCTGAGGTTAGTTTCGTTTGCCTTTTTCTTTTAGAAGATCACTTTTTCTCCTTTAAAAACCCCATTCATTTTCACCATACCTGTAGATCTAGATGTTCTTCGCATGAAACTTCATCTCCCTATCGATATAGAAATTAGAAACTGCCCTAAAGACATGGATATCAGGACTGGTGCCGGCCTTCTTCCCGGCAAAGTCTTGTTTACCCATCTTCAGTTGAACATCATTAGGTTTCCTTTGCATCCTTTCTTTAATTATGTTTTCAACAAACTAAGGAACTCCCCTCTGCAAGTAAATCCAAATTTTTTTAAGATCCTATCCGTTCTGCTACTACTGACCCATGACAGAGGTCTAGATCTTGATATCATAGATCTTCTTCTCTATTACAAGTTTAGTAAGATCCGACTTGAGGAACCATTCTACCACCTCTACCCGATTGAAAACATGTCCATATGCAAAGACACACTCAAATCTGAAAAGGGTTGGAAAAACAACATAATAGGGGTTAGGGGGGCCTGGTCTTCTCCAGCTGCAGAGGATTATCCAATCCCGAGCACCTTTGGCGTGTGTTCTGTCTCTTCGTATAAGAAATTCAAAACCCATAAGAACGATTGTCCCTTCGAAATTTATGTTCCTCGCTTTTATACTTTCTTGTGCCGTTCCTTAGGCATTCCTTGTGACGATTTGAGCTACTGTGTTTGCAGGGATAGGGACAATTACTTGAAGAATTACGTTCTGAACGACGTTCCTTCCTGCTCAGACCTCCTTACCTCAGACAACCTTCTCGCCATTTCAGCCCTCGGCAGCGCAATGAGCCAGCTCCAGATTCCTTTATTTGGCAGAAGGAAGAACCCTCCCCAAGTTACTGTTGCTGCTGCGGCAACCTCTTCTCCTGCCTCAGCTTCTTCTTCAGCCACTATTTCTGACACCATTCCGAACGTAGTGGCTGCTGATCCTGCCGTTAGCGTTCCTTCTACCAATCAAAACGCACCTCATCAGGTCAATATTAATTCTGCTGTTACTGCGGGTGCTCAGGATAAAGAGCGAGGCAAAAGGCCTCATCCTGACAGTGCAGCCAACCTTGATGATGTATCTCATACAAGAAGGATCCGAATTTCTGGGCCAGGTACACTCTTGCATCGCCCCAGTCAAGTCTCCTACCCTCTCTGGGCCTGCTACAGCTGCGGCTTCTGCTTCAGCTTCTGTCTCTGCCTCTGCCTCTACAACAGCACCATGGACTCCTCGATTCGCCCGAACGGATGGGACATTCGTGAAGCCGAACGAGACCATGTTCAAGGATGGTCAGACCGCTATGGCATATTACAGGGGCATGTGGACTCCCAATGTGATACCCCCGAATTTCCAAATGCGGGTTGGCCAGGCCCACGCCCGAATACCCGAGGATATCAAAACAAATTGATAATAAACGAACACAGAGTACAAAAGAATAAAGAAGAATAAATAAAATGCTGACAAGAAATTAAAATGATAATCTAATAATAAACCTCATAATATATTTCCATTAATTAATAAAGTCTTCTGATACAACTGATCCTCCAAAATACAACTCGGGAATCCATACTGTGCGGACCCCTAGAAAATCCAAACTAAACAAATGATAGTAATCTAAAACTGAATCATAAAGGAACTCCTATGTAGCATCGGAAGAATGAAGTAGACTGATCCCCGCTCAGCACGAACAACCTCTACTCGTGACGAACACCTGAAAAATAATGGTGGGTCAGGCCCACAAACAAGTTCTACTCTACTACAGTCCAAACAGAGATCCGATACACGTATACATCCTAGTCAATCCAACAGTAACTAGTAGTCCGTATATATATATACACACACTAAAGGACCTCACTAGACTATAGGGTTGTCTCAACCTGAATAGTAGGTAACATGCAAAACGCACATATAGTGGGCATGAGTACCTAGACCTACCAGGGTACACAACTACACTATATCTAGCTACACATCCCAGGCGATATACGCGCCCTAACCATTGATCCTGAGACTCAGGCTCATATCATGGCACCATACTTATATATATAAAATCTAGTAACCATCCAATCCAGTATAAATTAATCCTCCATAAGTCATTCAACTTGTTCAGCTGACCTGACTTGAATATAAGTAGGACTTAACATTTTAGTTAATCCATTCCCTTATATAATAAATTGATCCTCCATAAGTCATTCAACTTGTTCAGCTGACCTGACTTAAATATAAGTAGAACTTAACATTTTAGTTAATCCATTCCCTTATATAAAATAGGTAGCACTTAACTGATAAGTTAATCCATCCCTAGAATGCCACCGTCCCATACCGGTACATTAAACCACATAAACCAACAATTAATGTAACAATTAAGGAAATACATCAAACATTCTATAAATAACTATGATAAATATGATATCAAGTTATCACATAATAGGAATGACTTATTATTTCTTTAAACTTCCTATATCATATGTCTTACACAAACTGAATCTTATACATGATGATATTTTATTATACCGTTAAATAATGATTCTCTATATCTAATTCATCCTACACATTTAATCTCAATTGCTAAAATATTTTAAAAGATTAAATCCATTCGTTTGTTTAAAACATTCAAATAGCAAGCATCATTATGATTGAGTCTATTTAAATTTATTAAAACCCAAACCTAGTCCCTATTTAATGTTCAGGAATCCTAGGCATGTTTCTACGTTCCATCATTCCACAGATATGAAAAATACATAATTTAAACATGTAAAAATTCACATAAGAAATCAAATCAAAATCATGCATTTTATCAATTCATAACACAAGAACAGATATGAACCAATTTCATAAAACCTATGTTCTAACCCAATTAAACATGCATAATTATTTAATTTTATGTGTTTAATAAATTCTGGAATTTCCTAGGCATGTACAGAAACACGAATCAAAGGGAAAGAGATAGAAGAAGAACTTGCCTTAAACTTTCGGATCGAAAGTTAAACTTCTTCTTCCTTGATCTTCTCTCAATAGGGTTTTTCTCCTCATTCCTTCCTTTTCCTCATTCCCTCTCTAACACTATCTCTCCAGTATATGTCACGTGAATATTTCTAACCCCCTTTTACAACCTATAGGTATATATTTATAGGCTAAATAAAATAACCCTAACCCTTTTCCCAATCCAAATCAACTAAAAAAAAATGAAAATAAAAATATTAAAAAGGTAAGCAAAATATGTTACGTATATAATTTATGTATATGTTTATTAAATAAGTAAAT